GCTCCCGGGGACGCCCCTGCCCGCGGGCAAGCCTCAGCCTCAAAGGAGCAAGCAGGGGCACAACCGGAGGGAAAGCGGGGTGGGGGCAGGTCCCAACATTTCTTCTCTGGGTTTAGAGATTTCCCATCTCCAGAAACCCCCTGCCCCGCTCTCCCCGGGGTGGGTGAGCTTGGGGGACCAACATGGCATGCCCATCCCGTCCCCCCGGCGCTGTGCGGGGAAGGGCACAGCACCAGCCCACCCCAAAGCCGGGTGGAAGCAAGAGTTGCCCCGTTCACACGGGAACTTTATAGGCAGAGCAAAGAGCCGCCACCAGCCAGCTGGACCGCGGAGGTCCCGTTTCCTTCAGGGGAGAAGAGAGCATTTGAAATGGGCAACGAGTGCCGGGTAGATCACAAGTGAAACGGGAGGGAGAAGAGCAACCCCCATGCAGCGCCGCCGGCTGTGCTCTGCCTTCGGACGTCTCCAGCCCTTTGCCAAGTTTGAACCCCGAAAATAAAAGAGAGGGAGAGGCAGGGACATTGCCAGAAGTGGGGGTTGAATGGGAATGGAAGGAAAGAAGGTGAACACACACACACACGTACAGACATAGACACACACACACACAAACAGGCACAAACGCACACAAACAGGCACACAGGAAGAAACACACATGCACATAGGGACAAACACTCGCGCACGCACACACACAAGCACAAACAGGCACACAGACACACGCGCACGCACACACTTCCCAATCACTGATGGTGCGCGCTGGTAAAGAGTGAATGGGACCTGCAACTTGGAAGTGGACACATTCCCTAAACCCGTGTTTTCTAGAGCCCCCGCGTGCAATGGTCACTCAGGGGGGAAAACAGAGCCGGGAAAATGCATCTGATCTGTCTTTTCTTTTCCTTAAAGGTGTAAAACCAGATTGGATAAAGTACAAGAAGGAACAATCCTGCAATAGCCAGAGATTGACCACAGTAGGTTTTTCCATCTCTTTAACTTCTCTGATGTAAACGCAAAATCAAATAAACCTCCTTAAAATCGACTAACATGCACGAAATATTCTCCAAAACCGATGACATAAGTAGGCAGCGTGGTTCTGCCTGATTGATTCAAGTCTCACTATCATCATAATCATTTCCACCACCCAGCTTGTATACAAAACAGGAAGCTTTCTAAACTCGACAATCACGCAGCAAAGCCCAGAGAGGCATTGTAAGGCAAGACAAGCACTGTGCTGTTGAGCAATTGCTTGTAAATCCCTTTGCTTTGCCAAGGTGGCAGTATAGCACAGGGTTAGGACACTTGGAACGGCACAAGGAACATCAGCATTCAAGAACATATTTCAGGATGTCTGATGACTACTTACTTACCTATTTAAAACCTCCCCCCCACCACTTCGTTTTAGCTGATTTTTCCTCCTCTGAATTATTAAACTTGGTTATAGTTTAATTGCAGAGACCTTAGACTCCTTTTCTAAAATTTATGAAGCATTTTCTTTTCTTTTTATCCCCACTTTTTAAAACGCAAACTGCTTTGCATAATTGCAAAGGAAATTAACTGAAAGGGGAATGTAGAAGTATATACTTTTTAAATTACCTGTGATCATAAGTGGACTTAGCCTGGAGTGATGTTCCAGTACTTCATACTAAGGGCCATTAATGACATTATTTTTAACACATGTTAAAAAAAGAGAAAACTTTTCATAAAAAAAACCTCTTCTTTTGCAGAAATAGTGTTGAAATGATATTTGCAGCTTGCAAATGGAAGATAGAATAAAAAGAACTAGAGGTATTTCTCTTGATTTACGTAAGAAAGAATCTGATCCAAAATATTGTGTGCCTTTTCCTTTTAATTTAATGGGCTTCAGATCAAGCCCTAAATTCCCAGTTTAAATCGGAGTAACTGGAGGATAGTGATTTGTTCACTGAATTCTGGTGAAAATTAATATATTCTATATATAAATTAATATATTAGTCTCCAGTTACTCCCATTATATATATATATATATATATATATATATATACACACACACACACACACATATACATATTATATATATATATTTAAAAAGGTGAGGTTTTGAAGGACAAAATGGCTTTTTGTGGGCAGAAAAGGACAGAAATGAAAAATAACTTGTGAAGAAAGCAAGAAAAAAAGGGAAAGGGACAAACTTTAGGAATATATCACTGCCTATTTGGAAAGTCTAAGGCCTTTTCCTACAGGTCAGTCAGTTAGCCACATGCTGCATCAATACCAGTCCCTTAGCCAGGTAAAACATTCTATTTTTGGACAGAAATAGTAATTTTATTGGAAGTTCAACCAAATATGAGGGGCTCAGAAGAAACCTATTCATTTCCAAGGGCTTACCAAGTTCATGTAATGCAGTAAAGCTATTTTAATTGTTTTATTGATTTGAGAATTAATTAGTCTGTTTTATCAATCCCAGAATTCAAAATATAATTTGAATGATTAAAAAGCATAGTGGTTTGTTACCATACACACTATTCATCTTGAAGCTATCTGGGATACTTTTTCTTCCTTTCCTCCTTTTCTTTCCTAAATCTATAGGTTTGATTAGGAAAGATGGCTCAGATAGCAGTATTACCTAGTATTACTATATACAATGCTGTAGATGACTGTAGTGTGTGCTATAACTCGTAGCCTTGACCTTTTCTTTCTTTACTCCAGTGGGGTTCTGCATTTGCTTTTGACAGAATCATGACAAACTGTGTCTGAGTGTTGCCTTTGGCCATCTGTAACCATCTTCTCCCAAAGACTCAGGCATCACGGGTGTCTTGTGGTTTTCTTCTAAGCCTGAAGCAAGGGTGTTTCAAGGTCTCCACGATAGATTCTTATTATATTTGGATACAATCTGGAATAATTAAGTTAGTCGATATGATTCCGATCACAGCTTTGTGCCCAGTGTACAGCTAGAGACATGATGCTCAGTATTATGTCAGCAAATAATGGTTTAATTTCCTATAGTGAAGACAAACCTGTAGATAGATTACCAATCAGTAATCTTAATTTTTGTGCCAGAAATAGCTAGAAATTGTAAGCCAAAATAGGTTGAGTTTGGGTCTAAAATTAATTGCACCTGCAATTCAGGTTGTTTCAACATCTAAATAATTGGTGTCTTAGCATAAAAAGTTGAGTGAACCATAGCCCTTCTCCTTCAGGTTTTTATATGTACAAAATTTCAAATGAAAAAAAAAAAGAAAGCCTGCTTAAAGATAAAGATAATTTGACTGATATAGACAGACTGGTGATGAAAAGTGCTTATTTATTACTTCATGGCAACCCTTGTGGAATCTGGAATCATAAGGAAACACTGTTTTTCACAGTGAAAACTAGGCAATGAGGTTGTTGCTAAAACAGATTGTCCTCAAAACCATAGAGTGCCTTGTACCTAGCAGAGCCAGGAACTGAATTAACAGGGGAAATTGTCCCTCTCTGACTACAGCCAAATCTTTATCCATTCATAAATCAATCCAACATGCAGGTATATGAAACACACTCTAACAGCAGCATATAAGGATGAAAAACCAAACTATAATAAAAATCACTCCACAGAATTCATTATGTTGTCCCTCATGCTTCCATCTTTCCTCTTTCACTTTAAGGTAAGAAGGGCTAGAGGACAGACAATTAATATAGTTCTAGATATAACACTAGCTTCTGACCACAAGGCCATCTGCACTGCTTCCCAAGGGACTTCTTCTGATTTTCTGCTGATTAAAACAAGATTCACTTGCACTTGCTTATTCACAGATTCTAGACAGAAATCCTTCCTTTACACTCTTCTCATTCAGTCTGTTTTCAACAAGTTTCAATGATCTTAGGTATTTTCAGGGGACTATTATAATTATGAAAGGAGCATTTTAAATGATTTAAGAGGATCTGGTATTTTTGGAGCTCAATAAGCAAAGTGAAAGAGACAGAGAGAGAGAAAACTGGGTCCGAACCAACCTGGTTATTGGCCAAATTCTGAGAGGGAGTGAGGTCTTCCTTTATGAAAAGACCTGTTAAGAGATGTGAGGGTCTCAGAAGGCACAGAAGAATAACATATGACCTTTAAAATAACAGGGATGATCAAAGTTCCTCTTTGAATGTTAAAGGTTTTCTTTAATGCCATACCATCAAAAACAGTTTATAGATACATTATAGAGTCCAATTCCCTTAGCATGATGTATGTGTCCAATCCTATGGACCTCCATGGAGCTACTCACATAAGACAAGCAGGCTTTACTCCATATCTGTTGCAAGGAATTCTGAGATCTTTCCACCAGCTAATGTCAAACCATCATTCAGAACCAGATAGCAAAGCTTATCCAACAATTTAGAAAGAAAAATGTAACTTCCCTATTGAAATCCACTGAACAGGAACTTTCTCTGGAAAATCTAGAACAGAAATGACATTTTTTGAAGATTATGGCAGTTTGATTCTTTCTTTTAAAAAAAGTTACTGTGAAACAGATGGTAAAAAAGAAAATCAGTATATCATCAATTTTCTGAGGAAGAAGGTCTAATGATAACACTTTGGACATCAGAGCTCATATCTGGAAATCAGGATGCCACTACACAACAGAGCACCAATAAGCAAGAAATAAGCAACATGTAGTACAGTCCATAGTTCCAGAAGTCCATAGTTCCAATGTCTCTTTACCTGAAGGTAGAAAAACGTATCATTGTACTACAAAATGATCACCTGAAAGAAAAGCTAAAAAGCAGACAAAATGACTAAGCAGATGGCATCTGTTTTGCATCCCAATAAATTGGCACTAAACTTTCAGGTCTTTGAGAGGATTTTAAGGTAGTGAAAATGTCTTGTAAAATAATTTGTTTAGCTCTTCAGCAGTACAAAGCACCCATGTTACAGATCTGTGGACAGAAAAGTAAAGTTAGAGCAGTCAGCACCTTTTCAATCAGTTTTTAAAACAAAGAGCGTGGTTTCATTTCACCTAATCCTAAACTTATTGCCAAAATCTGGTAGGAAAGGGTTTATGCCATTTTAATGGACATTTTATAGGCAGGAAGACCTTGCTTTCTGGACTTATGGGACCTGTTGATAGAATGAATGAGGTTCGAATTCTGACTAGATCTACCAAACCAGTGAAACATTCCTCACCCCTTCAGAAAAATATCCCTGGGTGGCAGAAAAATAGAAAGGAGGTAGTTTAATGAGGTGTGAGTATTATATTGATGTAGAAACACTGCTAAAAGGTACAGGGCTGCATCTCATATTGATACTATGAAGAATGTTTTGTCATTGATATGAATTTTTCATAATATCATTTTCATTCTTTAGAAGGGCTGGGAATGATTATGGATTTTATTAGACCTTTGGGACACTGAGAGAATCTGTCTGGTGAGAAAACTCATTTACAAAATCTCACCAGGGTTGCAAAATTAGAGTGAACTTAATTCAGGTTGTGGTAAACTTAGCAAACGATAATTATCTCTCTCTTATTACTTCATCTCTCTGCTGTTCTTAAGTCTGTGACAAGTCTGTAGAGAACAGCCTTTTTCAGCTTTACAATTTATACTCATGTAGTATGTGATAGAAATCTGATCCTTTTATTTAAAGAAAACAGCCATATACCTGCATTGTACTTATGAGTTTGGATGGATCACACCTTAATATTTTCCCTTCATCTTAACCAAGCAAAAACTGTACTTATTTCAGTTTGATTTCTTGACTTTGAATTACAGCAAGTCTTTCTCAAATCACAGTGAATTGAAGTTTTCCCTTCCACTGATGTTGTCTATTTGGTGGCTATCCATTTTGTTAGCCCTGAGCTTTGGGCTTACTTAGTCGAACACTACATATATGCTGGTGTCCTGAGCAGAGTAGTTATTAAGAACAGTCATGAATATATCCCCAGGATAAACTAAGCCTTTCCCTTGCAACATAAAATGTTCTTACTTTTTGTGCTTCAGGCAAAAAGAATGCTAAGAAGTTATAACTGCATTT